TCGACGTGCCTGACGGCCTCCCTTCTGTTTTTCTTACCTTCCGAGTCTCGCGCGACCTAACCAACGTCCACGGTACACAAGCAGAAGTAGACGAAGAAGAAGAAGAAGAAGAAGAAGAAGAAGAAGAAGAAGAATGGCGGCAGCTCCTGCGAACAGCGACGGGGGAAGGGGGCAGCTCCTGCAAACGGCGACGGGCGAAGACGACCGGCTCCAGCTGACGACGACGACGAGCGGCGGGCGAGGAAGACGAGCTCCTGTGAACGGCGACGACGAATGACGGGCGAAGGGGGCAGCTCCAGCGAACAACAACGGGTGGCGCAACTTCGAAAGGCTGTGGGTCGAAGGGGGCAGCTCCAGCGAACACCCACGGACGGGCTGCAGGCAAGATCACCGCCATTCAAATCTGGGCGGGAAACTTGTGACGGCTCTGTGGCCGTCGACCAAGGTGGATCGACCGCCACAGACCCGCCGCAATTTTCAAACCCACTACCGCAGGCCTATCGGGCCCGATGCCACAGGTTTTCGGGCCGGTCGGACCCGGTAGGCCTGCGGGAGCCCACCAACGTTCGAAATGGGGTCGGAAAACCCCGAAATACCCTGTGCGCTGGGGGGGGCCGGGGACTGACCGGGTGTACTGCCCGGCCAGGCCGCCCAGGACCCCACCCGGGCCCCCACCGGTCCATCGGGCAGCCCGGAACCCCACCCAGATAAAAGGCTAATTCTTTTAAGCCCAACCAATTCAATTACCTGTCGAATCTGATGAAGATGGTGGTCCCGGGAGCAGTGACCAGCAAGCTATGGCGAAAGACAAAGGCACAGGTGGCGGTCACGAGGAACCTGCTCCAAAAGGTCCGGGTACTCGAGAACGAAGAGTACACGATTTATGAGCTGACGGTGGATATCCAGGAGCTGGAGGTAGACCCAGTCGAATGGGCCTGGAAGCTCCAGGGAGGCACCAGCAGGGTGGCCCAGAGATCCAACCTCCTACAACACACAACAAGGTTGGGGTACAGACTGAGACGTTGATTAGCAGCAGCAGGCGTCACAGAAAAGCAGAGATGGTCGAAATACCTGGAGATAGATCTCACAGTCCTGCCCAGCATCCCGTGGGTTCCTCGCTCGGAACAAGAGACACAAGGGTAAGTAGCTTGCCATGGTTGATTACATATCTGGCATTGCCCGTGAACAAATGGCTGCGCCGGCAGAGAAGCCCGCAACACAGAACCATGCTCAACGAGCTGTGCGCCATCTACAACGAATGGCTGCACCGGCAGAGAAGCCCGCAACACAGAACCGTGCACAGAGAGCTGTGCCCCATCTACGAAGAATGGCTGAACCGGCGGAGAAGCCCGCAACACAGAACCATGCTCAACGAGCTGTGCGCCATCNTGCACAGAGAGCTGTGCCCCATCTACGAAGAATGGCTGAACCGGCGGAGAAGCCCGCAACACAGAACCATGCTCAACGAGCTGTGCGCCATCTACGACGAATGGCTGAACCGGCGGAGAAGCCCGCAACACAGAACCATGCTCAACGAGCTGTGCGACATCTACGACGAAAGGCTGAACCGGCGGAGAAGCCCGCAACACAGAACCGTGCTCAACAAGCTGTGCGACATCTGCGACGCGGGGCAAGCGGAGGGCGTGATGCACTGTCTCCTATCCTTCGTCAGGGCCCAGCAACTCTGAGACAAGGTGGCAGCTTTATGGCGGACGATGGTGGATAAGCCCTTCCCGACACATAAAGAAGCACTACTCACAGGCTTCGGTACCAATGCAGGCTATTCCAAAGGACGAGACTCGTGGCGCTGTGGGCGATCGGGAAGAGGAGATGTCAGGAAACGATCGACAAAAATCACTGTCCGCTGGCACAGGCGTGGGACGGATTTCTTTAAACACTGGAGACAGAGTACGAAACAGATTGGGTTAGGCTCAAAAGGGAGACGGGTGAGAACCCAGACAAGGCACAGGAGAGAGACGGCAAATTTTCCCCCAAGGTACTGGGGACTGGAAAGATTGGCATAGTGTGTGGGAGGGAACATCCAGTTCACACGGAAACTGGAATGTACGGAGAGGGGTTCAGTAGTGGGAGACCATGGGCAGATTCGGCCCACAACATACGGGACTCAGTTAGCCTGAGCCTAGCATCGCAGTAGAGAGAAGAGAGGGATCAGGAACGCTGGACCCGGTATCCAACACAGCAAAAGGGCAAACGGGACCTGGAGGTGGATCCAGGGGTAGGACAGTAGGGGGGGGGGCAGAGACGGCGAAGGGAAAAACGCAGGAGGAGATGAAGGAGGCAGAGCAGTGGTACATCCTCTCTCACACGAGGGAGCAATCAATGCTGCTGACTCAGGGTCCCTCCTCAGCCATAATGGAGGGAAGCGTTGTGTGGCTCAATGATGTAAGGGACGCCGGATCCCGTTTCAGCACATTTAATACAACCTCTTCTTTATTTAAAAAACAAGAACAAAAAGAAAAACAAGAATACCCAGACAGTCCTCAGAAATGCACGCATGCAGCAAACTGACAGGTGAGAGAGTCACTTTCAAACTGAAATTTCGAAATTTCAGACACCACACCAACTGACAGCAATCAAATCGAAATTTCGCACTCGGACAGGCATGTCTAACAAATGCAAATTATAGAGGCATAGGTGTCGCACACACCTGACTTCTTCCACTCCCTTCATCACTGATGTCCTCATCCTCTTCTTCCGAGCTCTCTCCCTCGTCAACATCACTAGCAGAAATTACCCCGCTGTCAGTTTCGCTATCTTCTCCCTGTTCCATTTCCTCCCCCTCCTCCTCCTCCTCCTCCTCTCCCTCCTCGCTGCTCGGCACCTTTTTCTGCCTCTTCTGGAGACGCCTTGCCAAGTTCGCGATTGCCACCCCCGCCATCTCCTTATCCATCACCTCGACATCAGACTCAGACTCTGCCCCCTTCGATTTCCTCTGTCTTTGAGCTGCTGCCTTCTTCTGAGGTAATCCTCCTCCTCTCTCCGGGCCTTCACCTATCGCCTCCGTATCTTCCATAGGCGAATCATCAAATTTTACGACCTTCTTTCTCTTAACAACCGGGGCGCTTTCTGGCTGCACTTCCCTCTCCACATCTTCCCCATCCAGAGCTTTTCTCTTCTGCACCTTTGGCCTTTCGACTTCGGTCCCCATTCCCTCTTCTTCTTCGTGGAGTCTAGCACGGGTAATGGTGTCCCTTAGAATCAATACCTCATCCTCAACACACTTGGTATTCAAAAGACGGTCCATCGCCCATGTGTGTTCTGCTGTATCTGGAAGACCACGCCCTGCGGCGCTGGCATTATCTCCATGTTCCTCTTGCTTGGAATTACCCTTTCCGCCTCCACCGGCCAATAATTTCTCAATGTACTTCCGAAGCTGGATGACCATCTCCTCTGCGTCAGGCTTTGGTAAGCCCGCCGAGATGCATGCATGCTTCACAACGTCGTCCACTGCAACAGCCTGTCAATTCTCCAGGGAAACAAGAACAGATGCCCATTGGTAACTGAAGTTAGTTACAGAGTTAGTTCACCAGAAGGGAGGCAACGGAATTTGTGCTCAGCAGCAAGGGAGAGCTGAGCAAATTATTAGCCTCCTCTTCCTCCTTTTCTCCACTTGTCGAGTCATCAAATGGGGACAGAGACACATCCGTGTAATCTGACAATCATAGTAGACAATAGTCGGCATGAGACCAGTGAGAGAACACAGCTGTGCTGAGTTCGACGAGAAAGGTCTCAGCCACAACAACCTGGTCATCGACGCAACAGGACCACCAAGATTTGATGTACACGGATGCTCGGCGATTATGACAGCAGCCACAATGACCTGGTCATCGACACAACACGACCACCAAGATTTGATGCACACAATGCTGGACCATTATGATTAAATGATGCAGTGACAAGAGTTTCAACGGCAAGGGGGATGTCAGAATGTTCAGAAGCACGCCCGTCGCCGTCCATGCCCGCACATTCGGCGGTAAGACCAACGAACAAAAGAAGGAACACTAAAAACTCTGAAGCTCCATCCCTAAAACTCAAGTTTGATTCCTGTGCTGTTAGAACATGATGCACAGTTTAGAGCTTACTCCCCACTGCTTAGCTTTCCTGTACCGTCAGACCATGGTGCACAGGTTAGCACGTACTGCCCAGTGCTTAGCAGAGTCTTCTCAGAGTTTTCACAGCATTTCTCCTCCCCCCAAAACAAACAAACCCCCCAGGACTGTGATACACCATAACCCAAGAAGCTGTGAACACCTTTCAACTCTCGGTCAGACACCTACCCCTACATGCTTAAACCACCAGTACATGGCCCCAACCAAGTCGAGAATCACGATTGAGCCTCTCCTAAATTTTAGGAGGCTCGGGACAGGGCTCACAAGGTTCT